ACCAACTCCAGGGAGGGAGGGTGGGAGAAACCACCTCCATGATGGCACAAGCTCCGACTGACTCCGACAAGACCCAACCCCCCTTTTCAAATCCTGCAAGACCACCCCTCAATGATGCGTACTCCAATCAAGTAAGTAACCATCCCCCCCTTTCCTCTTGCTTAGACTCCCACCTAAATTACTCTCTCCGCCTCATCTGCACGCCCCAGTCATGCTGCCCCTCCCTTTTATCTTCGCTCAGTCCAGGCCTTGACTGAAACAAAGAAAAAAACGTGTTTTTTTTTTCAAAATTTTTGGTCTTTTTTTGTTGATTTAGCAAAAAATAAAAAAACCCCAGTGGTGATTAAATACCACCAAAAGAAAGCTCTAGTTGTGTGAAAAAAATGATAAAATTTTAGTTTGGGTACAATGTTGTATGACCGTGAAATTGTCATTCAAATTGTGAGAGCGCTGAAACCTGAAAATTGGCCTGAGCAGGAAGGGGGTAAAAGTGCCCGGTATGGAAGTGGTTAATCATGAAGGGTTTGGGGCTAAACATGTTCGGGGCATGGCTTGACATGGCATGGGCGATGAATCGAGCTGAGGTTGCCTTTACCTGCTAACCACTTGGACTGGGTAAGGTGTGCGGCAGCCAGGCTATGTCTTCCTATTTCACATTAGAGTGAAGTAAAAACTCAACTTGCCCTTCACTGATGGTTTGATGGATTAACTACAAGTGTTAACAACTTGTCATGTAAGTTCACTCAAGTTCATACAGTGCTAAAGCCCTGATGGAGGAGGACTGTTGGAGCCTCCAAAAGGTGTTGAATTTTAATTCCAACCTAATATAACTTAATAAAATCTTCTTTGGACTCTAGTTCTTGGTGTGATGGCGTTATTCACTTCTTTTCCCTTTTGTAGAAATGTAATGTTTTCTTTCCTTGAACAGGCTAAAAAGATTACAATTTGCTCCGGATAGTACAGCTTCGTATGTACTGCCAACATCAGTGCTGCCATTATAAGAGACACCAATATCAGTGTCATGGCTTTGTCCCCGTCTACAGTTAGCCATTCATAAATTTCAACCTTTGATGATGCGGCACCATTTAGTTTGTGAATGCCCAATATAGCGGGGGGGGGGGGATTGGGTGTAACATCATCACTGATTTCTATCATATATGCAGAGCTGATTTAAGCAGGAGGGCAAAGTACAGTGAGATATGTACCTACTAATTCCTCTAAAGCTAACAAGGATGTCCCTTGAGTTGACTTTAACCACTTGCCCTCCAGAGGATTTACCCCCCTTCATGACCAGGCCAATTTTTGCGATACGGCGCTGCATTACATTAACTGGCAATTGTGCGGTCATGCAACACTGCACCCAAATGACATTTATGTCCTTTTTTCCCACAAATGGAGCTTTCTTTCAGTGGTTTTTGATCGCCTGTGCGGTTTTTATTTTTTGCAGTATGAACAAATTGTTGAGAAAAAAATTATATTTTTGACTTTTCAAACATGTCCAGTAAAAAGATTAAACAATCAAATTTCATCATAAATGTAGGTCAAAATGTAATCTGTCTTTGCTAAAAAAAAATCCCAATACGTGTAAATTTATTGGTTTATGTGAAAGCTATAGCATCTACAAATGGCGGTATATATACAGGAGTTTTTTTTAAATTCTTATAGCAATGGTGGTGATCAGAGACTTATAGCAGGACTGTAGGACTGTGACGGGCATTCTGACATTGAGGGAACTAACTGTCACTGACATCCCAATGACACTAATACTGTGGTCAGTGCTAATAAAAAGCACTGACACTGTACTAATGACACTGGGTAGGAAGGGGTTAACATCTGGGAGATCAAAGGGTTAACTGTGTGCTGTTTTACTGTGCTGTGTGTAAGAATGCTGATTTGTATGGCTGTGCTATGCAGAGCAATACAAAGCAGTGTGCAGAAGCTGACAGGGGAGAGATCTGTATTGTTTACATACAGACCTCTCCCCCATCAGCAATATTCAGCGATTGCCGGGTGCCAGCAGGGAATCACTGGCCGGGATCGACAGCTGAAGCCGCCAATGGCGGCACGGGTAGGGCACGCACACCCCTACCCGGAAATGCAAAATCACGTATATATACATGATTTTGTAGAGCCCTGCCACTCTGTAGCAGTATTTCTGCTATAGGGCAGCAGGAAAGTGGTCAAAGACAGTAGGCTCAGTTCGCAACACTTTATCCTAGTATGTTAGCTCGGTGATTTTATTTTTTTTTATAATAATGAAAAAGTAAATAATCATTTTTAAAAAATGAAGAAATGTAATATAAAAATAACCTCAAACCATTATAGTTGCCCTTTAAGCTAAAAGTGTCCTTGAAGCAAGGAAAACAAACACCGACCCATGAAAATGGTTGTGCCTGCTTTCATTGTCTAACCTGTCATGGAACAATGGCAGCTGTCATCTGATTTAGAAAACTCTTTTCTTTCCTACAGTCATATGCATAAGGTCAGTTATAATTAATCTTACACTTTTTTTTATACAAATCTTCCCACAGTAAATATTTTCCAAGCACAATAAACCTGTTGAACTATGACCATGGCATTTGCTCCGCCTGATATATACTTCTCTTCTCTGCCTGTTGTTATGACCACAGACTATAACTCTTCTTTTAGAACAATAAACTCCTTTGTTATCCGTTGTGTTTTTCCTCTTTTAAGACATTATATTACATCCTAATCTCTTCATTTCACTGCTGTGAGCTCAGGCCGTCCACAGGGAACTGGAGACGGCATGAGGTTTCAGGAACACCTGTGTGCACTGGACATTTAACTCTGTCACTTCTTTGTAGTTAGTTGTGGCATTGCCGCATATTTCTACTTGGACAGGTTCCGTTAAAGCAAACCAGTGCTTTGGCCACGCAGGGTTCAGTTTAATGGAGATCCCACCAGCAGCATATACTCCCCTCTCTATGTATTTCCCATTAAATGTACATTAACGCTTCACTGTGTGACCCTCTATATCAGTGTTTCTCAACCTTTTTACAGTCAAGGCACCCCTTAAAATTTATGGACAGTCCCAAGGCACCCTTTAAAATTATGGACAGTCCCAAGGAACCCTTTAAAATTATGGACAGTCCCAAGGAACCCTTTAAAATTATGCACAGTCCCGAGGCACCCTTTAAAATTATGGACAGTCCTGAGGCACCCCTTAAAATTATGGACAGTCCCAAGGCACCCTTTAAAATTATGGACAGTCCCAAGGTACCCTTTAAATTATGGACAGTCCCAAGGAACCCTTTAAAATTATGGACAGTCCCAAGGTACCCTTTAAAATTATGGACAGTCCCAAGGCACCCTTTAAAATTATGGACAGTCCCAAGGAACCCTTTAAAATTATGGACAGTCCCAAGGTACCCTTTAAAGTTATGGACAGTCCCGAGGTACCCTTTAAAATTATGGACAGTCCCGAGGCACCCTTTAAAATTATGGACAGTCCCGAGGCACCCTTTAAAATTATGGACAGTCCCAAGGAACCCTTTAAAATTATGGACAGTCCCGAGGCACCCTTTAAAATTTTGGACAGTCCCGAGGCACCCTTTAAAATTATAGACAGTCCCAAGGCACCCTTTAAAATTATGGACAGTCCCAAGGTACCCTTTAAAATTATGGACAGTCCAAAGGCACCCTTTAAAATTATGGACAGTCCCAAGGCACCCTTTAAAATTATGGACAGTCCCGAGGCACCCCTTAAAATTATGGACAGTCCCAAGGCACCCTTTAAAATTATGGACAGTCCCAAGGCACCCTTTAAAATTATGGACAGTCCCAAGGAACCCTTTAAAATTATGGACAGTCCCAAGGCACCCTTTAAAATTATGGACATTCTCAAGGTACCCTTTAAATTATGGACAGTCCCAAGGAACCCTTTAAAATTATGGACAGTCCCGAGGCACCCTTTAAAATTATGGACAGTCGCGAGGTACCCTTTAAAATTATGGACAGTCCCGAGGCACCCTTTAAAATTATGGACAGTCTCGAGGCACCCTTTAAAATTATGGACAGTCCCAAGGAACCCTTTAAAATTATGGACAGTCCCGAGGCACCCCTTAAAATTATGGACAGTCCCAAGGCACCCTTTAAAATTATGGACAGTCCCAAGGAACCCTTTAAAATTATGGACAGTCCCAAGGTACCCTTTAAAATTATGAACAGTCCCAAGGCACCCTTTAAAATTATGGACAGTCCCAAGGTACCCTTTAAAATTATGGACAGTCCCGAGGCACCCTAAAAAATTATGGACAGTCCCAAGGCACCCCTTAAAATTATGGACAGTCCCAAGGCACCCTTCAAAATTATGGACTGTCTCAAGGAACCCTTTAAAATTATGGACAGTCCCAAGGCACCCTTTAAAATTATGGACAGTCTCAAGGTACCCTTTAAATTATGGACAGTCCCAAGGAACCCTTTAAAATTATGGACAGTCCCAAGGCACCCTTTAAAATTATGGACAGTCGCGAGGAACCCTTTAAAATTATGGACAGTCCCAAGGCACCCTTTAAAATTATGGACAGTCGCGAGGTACCCTTTAAAATTATGGACAGTCTCGAGGCACCCTTTAAAATTATGGACAGTCCCAAGGTACCCTTTAAAATTATGGACAGTCCCGAGGCACCCTTTAAAATTATGGACAGTCCCAAGGAACCCTTTAAAATTATGGACAGTCCCAAGGTACCCTTTAAAATTATGGACAGTCCCGAGGCACCCCTTAAAATTATGGACAGTCCCAAGGCACCCTTTAAAATTATGGACAGTCCCAAGGCACCCTTTAAAATTATGGACAGTCCCAAGGCACCCTTTAAAATTATGGACAGTCCCAAGGCACCCTTTAAAATTATGGACAGTCCCAAGGAACCCTTTAAATTATGGACAGTCCCAAGGTACCCTTTAAAATTATGGACAGTCTCGAGGCACCCTTTAAAATTATGGACAGTCCCAAGGCACCATTTAAAATTATGGACAGTCTCAAGGTACCCTTTAAAATTATGGACAGTCCCAAGGCACCCTTTAAAATTATGGACAGTCCCAAGGCACCCTTTAAAATTATGGACAGTCCCGAGGCACCCTTTAAAATTATGGACAGTCCCGAGGCACCCTTTAAAATTATGGATAGTCCCGAGGCACCCTTTAAAATTATGGACAGTCGCGAGGTACCCTTTAAAATTATGGACAGTCCCGAGGCACCCTTTAAAATTATGGACAGTCTCGAGGCACCCTTTAAAATTATGGACAGTCCCAAGGAACCCTTTAAAATTATGGACAGTCCCGAATAGTTTTATATAACGCAGCAACATCCACACATGTAGGACACCCAACATTAGAGGTGATTTATTCTTCCAAAGCAAATATACTTCTGCACACTGGTACTGACTAGTATTCCAATGTTTCTCTTCTCCTTCAGTTTTTCTCCATCACTGAGCTAATGTGACCCCAGCACTGATGGAGAGGGGCAGGGGAGGGTCAAATTAGGATGCTGTGCAGGCAGCTGACATCCTCCTTATCAACTGATGATGTCATTGGTTGTCAGGACGCCGGTGTCTAGAAGGTGGTAATGGTGCACAATGAAAACCTGTGACTGTATAACTAAAAGGCCGGCTTGTTCCACCCGCTGGCTTGTGTACAAGTTTTGGGCACTTTTTAGACATTTTGCCAAGGCACCCCTGAAGAAACCTCAAGGCACCCCAGGGTGCTTGGGCACCCTGGTTGATAAAGGCTGCTCTATATAGTGTACAATACCCTGTACTGTGCAATCCCCACTCATTGCATCTTCCTATATTGTGTCACTCTCATTCAATGTACAATAACTCTTCACTGTAGGCTACTTGGCCACTGACCATTAACCATTTCAGATATCCCATGTTTTAGGGCCAACCTAGAGCAGAAGGTTGACCTCTTTTCTCACTGCAAGAGACCTTCAAAGCAGTGATGTGATATAAAAAGACTAGTGTTAGGGTTTTTTTAAAAAATTTGTTTCCTAATCGTTGTGGGTTTTTGCAGAATTTTGTACATTCACTTCCTATTACACATCTTTGATGAGTCTTTGGCTTTTTTTGTTTGTTTGTTTTTTATACTGTTATTTTTTTGTTTTTGCCTTTTTTTTAATAGTTTTTCAGGTTTTTTTTGTTCAGAGTAAGATTATGAATATCCGTCTTTCTCTACCCCTCATTTCACTCCATCTTCTCAAGAATCACTAATTTACTAACAGAGATTGTCAAGATCAATGGCAAAAATATCAGCCCGTCCCCTGATGGACAGGGTGCTATGTGATATTCTAGACTCTGAACTTTCCTGTCAGCACCACATCTAATCATAGTCCAAAGCTTGACACCTCAACCTCCGCAACATCTCTAAAATACGTCCTCCTGCTCTCTAGCTCCCTTGTCAACTGCTCCCATGCTTGCCTCCTGGACTTTTCCCAAGCCTCTCCCATAATATGGAACTCCCTGCCCTAATCTGTCCATCTATCTCCTACTCTGTTCACTTCTAGGCGATCCATGAAAACTCTTATCTTCAGAGAAGCCTATCCTGCCTCCACCTAACAACTGTATTTTTATTTTCTCCATCAGCTCATCCCCCACAGCTTTTATCTTTTGTATCACTTGACCCTCCCTTTTAGATTGTAAGCTGTTATGATCAGGGCCCTCTGATTGAATTGTATTGTATGTATTGTAACTCTACTGTCTGCCCTCATGTTGTAAAGCTCTGTGCAAACTGTTGGTGCCATATAAATCCTGTTTAATAATAATATGAATAACAATGTCCAAGAACTCAGTTGTCAGTCAAATTCAAAGATTCTGATATTAGCTACCATAAGGGTGTGGTAGTAGTCAATATCTTAGTGGATTATAATGAGTCCGTACTCCCTTGTCGCCTGTACCATCTCATCTTGGTATCCTTGTATACTGGTGATGACACTTTTGTCTGTGAAAAGATGCTTTTTCTGCAGATGGCTAGAACGACAGAGGGACAGAACTAAATAAGTACTCCATTAGGAGCAGCAGCTTTTGCACGCGCAATAAGGGTGGAGTTCTCCTCAAGCTTTTCTGTGGTGCAGTTTACATTAGCCATCCAATTCATGATGAGATACTCCAGAAAGAAGCAGTCATTTGGTATCTGAGGTTTCTCATGATTAATGCTTCCATGGTCCACAATGTGGTCCTCACATAAAATTTGTGGCAATGCAAAATCAGCCAATAATTTTTGTAGGAATGTCATATCAAATGACATATCCTTGCCAGTATAATATCAATGTGCAGTGCTAATAAAAATGTGTGTTATAATCAATGAGGACCAGTGTGATAGTAAAAGAGAAAGGAAACATCATAAAAAAGAAATAGAGAATAGTGAATACTCCAATGAAGAAACAAAATGGACGGTATAACAAATATAACAAATGAAACTATATAAGTCCTCTAAATATCATAATAGTCCCAAAAATAGTGATGTGATCAAATCAACAAAATGTAGTGACTTCTGTGACTTCCGCACTGCACCTCCACCATAATGTACTCACCAGAAGTAAGTAGCAAGCAAGCCCAGAGCGGAATGACAGTAAGGGGTGTTCCTGCTTGTTCCTCCTGCCGGTGACCCGATTGAAGGTGGGATCTCTCCAGAAACCAGTGATACACCAAATGAACAATCAAGAGTAGAGTAGCCAAGTCTCCATCTCCAGCCTACGGTGAACCAACGAAAGGGATTTCTCCTAGAGGGCAAGCCCATAGACCGAGCCCGAAGAAAGTATCATAAAGTGTAGTATGTTTTATTGAAAAGATAGCAACCACATGGAGCATAAAATCATCAATGGATAAAAAGCACTTACAAAGATGGCCGCTGGATCATCGTATGGATGTGGCGGCGTGATGTCAGCACGTAGGCCCCTCTGACGCGTTTCGTGCTCACGCACGTTCTCAAAGGGTTCCACCTATACTTGCCATTTTCTGTATATGAACAAGATGTCAGAGATCTTGCATGACATTACTGACCAAATACATACCTGTCATTTGGAGGTGGTAGTGATAAAGCTGCTAAATGTCAGATTCTTTGGTTTATTCACAAACATAAGATGGCCAGTGATCTGTCATTTGGTGGTGGTAGTGTTACCACCACTAAATGGCATTTTCCCGACCACTCTGTGTAAGCCCAAAATGTGCATGCTATTTAAAGTGTTTGCATATTTTAATGAGCAGCACAGTGGCTAAATGGTTAGCACTTCTGCCTGGCAGTACTAGTGTTGTTGGTTCAAATCCCAACCATGGCATCACCTGCCTGGAGTTTGCATGTTCTCCCTGTACCTGTGTAGGTTTCCTCTGGGTACTGCAGTTTCCTCCCACACTCCAAAGACATGCTGGTAGGTTATTTGGATCCTGTCTAAATTGGCCCTCCTATGTGTATGGATGTAAATTAGGGACCTTGGATTGTACACCCCTTGAGGGTTAGGGACTAATGTGAATGGACACTATATATGTAAAGTGCTGCAGAAATTGACAGCACTATATAAGTACCTATAGTAAATAAATAATGTTGCCATTGAAACCTCATTTAAAGAGCCTCTCCTTACTGAACAGCATTTAAAAAAAAATCTTTTGTACTGGTACATGTCCCCCATGGCAGTGCCCAACTACCCATGCCCTTTTTAACCTCCTTGGCGGTATTCCCGAGTGTAGCTCGGGGTAAAGTTTCAGTACCACAAGCGGTAACCCCGAGCTACACTCGGGCTTACCATGCGGCGCTGCTCCGGGATCCCTCGATCACTTACCTTGTCTTGCGCTCCCGCGATGTCCCTCCTGCAGTGTCCCTGGCAATGTAATCCGGCGGATGCCGGCATCTGTCATCTGGGTTCCGTCGCCTGCGAGCGTCGGGACGTACAGGGGATGGAACGGCGGGAAATTTGAAAATGACAAAAAGTGACATTCACTAAAATCACTAAAATCACATAGTAAAACATTACTGTATCAAACCATTTCACATACATTTTGTCTCGAGTGCTTTGTCCGGCGCCCTGCCTGCATTTTTACTGTTTTTATTGCCTGGAAACTGAGAAACGTCCATGGCATCCAAAAAGCGTCCCTTTAGGTCAAAAGCGGTTTTAGACCGGCTAGAGAACAGCGAAAGTAAATCAGAACCACTTGCAGAATTGAGTGATAATGATTCGTGGGGGAAATTCGTTATCAGACACTGAAAACAATTTTGCAACTTTGCTCAGTGATGTGGGAACCTGGCGCTATATTTCAAATTTCAATGTTTTTAGTTTGATTATATTATTGAATTAAATTTATTTATATTATTATTATTTTTTTCATGAATATTTATTAAATTATAATTTATGATTTCGTGTTTCAAGTTTTATCCTACCCGGGATGTTTACTGGACTCTTGTTCGGACAGATTTCAGTGAGTTATTCCTAAGAATTACAGGCCTACAACATAAAAACGCCAAATTTCCATGCAAAATAATGGCACCGCTTTCAGCACCAAAAATCTGAAATAATCATACCGCCAGGGAGTTTAAACAAAATTTTGCAAACTGGCCTAAATGTGATTCATGTTTTGCTTTAGCATACTTTTTGCTGGTGTTGCTAAACTTCCCGCGAACAGAACTTTGCTAGGTTCGATCATCCATTTTCAAAGGGTTGAACTAACAGCACTGTGAAAAGCAACAGACCATTGACTGGCTAACACCTCCCCATACCAGCCTGGGTGATCCAATGCAAAGCATTACAGAAAACTAATATAAAGATGTGTTCTTGTTTTTTATACTTGTTGCATTTAATACAAATACTAACTTATTAATTCAATGGATAACTGAGCTAAATTTTTATTTTTTTTCAAATTTGAATGTTCTGCTTTAATTCTTCATTTTAGTCTATCTTTAGCCGTAGAGTGGGGATTAAGAACCCAGCAATGGAAGCATTAGGCAACAATGTAAATAATCTAAACGCAGTACAGACCAGTGGACATTCTGCGCAAATAGCCGGCGGACTCCCTCCGGCACATGGCTCTGGCAGCTTGTCCGTAGGATTAGCACAGAACACAAGCAGGCAGCACAAAGTGCTAATAATCCTGATTTATGTTTTTATTTTAGCAGACCTGGAGCATTGTTACATGGGGAAAATTGTATGCTGGCACTACAAGGACCCTTAGCTTATTAAAGTCATAAATCGCTTCGGGACACGGCTCTGCCAAAGCAATGGAAGACTTATTTGTGGGCTTTTCATTCAAGTACCCCAATTATGACAGACTGCCAAAAATATTCTCTCGGCTTCCAGCGTGGCTCTTAACCTAAACACTGTATACGTGTGGCAGGCTTGTGCTTTCTGAAGCTTAAATCACATCTCTTTTGTTATGAACAAACATTAGCGTCAATGTTACTCATTGACATTTACTGAGATTAACCACTTCAGTCCTGGGGGAGTTGAGACTGGTGGAGCAGAGCAATTTTCACTTTTTAGTTAGAGACCTATTGATTTCCCATCAATTTATTATGATACTGCAATGATATGTCATTTATTTTTCTTTTAGGGCAAACAAGGATATCTTTTTAAAGGTATTGTATGACATGAATTATATTGTTCTCTATGAAATCATAACGGTAAGCAATGAAGCATGTCTTGTGTGCTTTAGTGTGTATTTGTCATAATGGTTTCAGTTTGCAAAACTTATAAAGTGTATCTAAAGCTATTTTTTTTGCTGGATAGAGTGGGAAAGGTTTAGAAGCCCTGTTGGATTTTCATTGCTGCTTGTGTCCTTTGGGAACATTCACCCTTGTTCTATCTCAAGTGTTGCTTTGTGCAAAAGATATACCTCCTGAAACCTTTTCTATAAGGGATGTGTCAGGAATGGACTTGCCAATAATGGTGGGACTCACCTGCCTTGTGGGCTGCAGTACCAGGGCTGGCCAGCGGGTGCTCTCAGCAATCAGAGACTCACCCCTGCAGTCAGCCAAACACCTGAAGCTGATTGCAGGGGTTGTATTTAAGGAATGGCCAGACTCACAGTCAGGGCCTTGGTGTGTGTTTTTCCATGGGCCCCTGTATCTTGTATCCTGTGTTACTGTTCCTGTTTCTGCCTGACTTGTTACCGACCCTGCCTGATCCTGACCTCTGTTGACTTCTCCTGTTTGATCCCTGGCTTGTGACCCTGACCGTTCTTTGCCTGACGCTCTGCACCGCGCTGCCCGTGAGTTACTGAACCCAGCTTATGACCCGACCACTCTCCCGCCTGTTCCTGGTACTCCGTTTGCCCGTTTGCTACTGACCCGGCCTGCCTGACGACTCTTGCATTGTATGTATTGTTATCTGTAGGTGGTTTGGTTTGTTTGCACTGTGTTTATGTTTAGTTTTGCACTGCGTTTTGTATTGTTAGTCTTAATAAATCATATTGTTTATACCATATCTGAAGCCTGCGTTTCCCTGTGTTTAGTCCACACACCTCTGGTCATACCTGGAGCCCTGACAGGATGTATGGTAAATTGTTGTTTTATTTATTTTATTTTTTATTTATTTCAGGTACTTAGATAGTGCCATCAATTTACTCAGGACTTTACATATATTTTATACATTCACATCAGTCCCTAACCCTCAAGGGGTGTACAATCTAAGGTTTTGACAATATCCTCATGTAAGCAAGGGGTAACACCCTTTTCAGGGAAACCCCACCTTTGGGTGAATCTAGTAGGTGGAGCTAGTCTGTCCTATATAATCTTTAGCAGGAACAGCCTAGGGCAGAGGGTGATGGGAAAAGCCTACCCCTCCAATACTAATATGTAGCCTTAGGAAATAAACCTTTCTGGGTAGGCTGACAACTAGACATGTGCGATTGTTTTGTTACAAATCTAAATTTGGATGACATTTTTGTTATACGAATCTGCAAATCATAAAAGTAACGAATTTAAACTAATCTGAAATAAATTATAGTGAAATGACAAATTCAAAATTCATTCGTATTCATTCACTTCATTTGGATTACATGATACGATAGTTTGGGCCTTTTGTTAATGTTTGAATAATCCGAAATAACATAATGATCCAAATTGATTCAGATCCATTTCATATGTTGCAATAACATTTTTCATTATTATAAAAAATGCACTACATATGAAATGGAAACATATTACAATAGATACAGTAAGGTATAAAAGTGATAGAAAAAGATTCCTACTTACTGTGTTTAGGTTGGATGGAGGTGGATCCATCAGAATCCCCGAATCATAACACAAAGAATGAACCCAAAATTCATTTTGCTCCATTTGTTATGTTATGATTCGGATATTCTGATGGAGATTCCATTCAACCCAAAGAGAGTGCATTAAACTCTATTGAAGTAAAATTAATTAACACGTTAAAACAAAATATAGCCAATCTTCCGAAATGTGAATCGATTTGGAACAATGAGTATATGAACCTAATCCAAATATTATACGAAAATAATTCTGAAAACAAATCATTCTAGCATAACGAATATGATGAAACAAAATGATCACCTTAAAAAACTAATCTGAAACAAAATGAATTTTTTTGTTGTGCACATCTCTACTTGTAACAGGCTCAGGTGGAGAACCCATGTATGGGGGAACTTTGGTGAGGACCATGGGAGAGTCGAGTGGCTCTCCTATGTTCTGGTGGACTTGTAATGAGCAAAATGATGATGTTGGGAACGACAGAGCGTAGGTGGAGGTTGTGTATTGCTCATTGTTCATCTGCTACAGTAAATGTTAAAGGCTGAGAGCTGGGTCACAGGCTGGGAGAATGAGCATGACCAAAGATGGTGGAGTTTCTCTATGTTGCAGATGTGTGTGCACCCTATGTTGTTCCTGAGCAGGAAGATGGCGGGAGGGACCCTAGTCCAGTATAAGCGTTGCTGGTGGTGGACAGGGGTGTATCCAATACAATTTATTCTAGCTTGATAAATACACAGAAGGCTTTTTCTGGCCTTTCTTGTATTGTTAAAAAAGATATATCTCTCCATAGAGTCCTTGTTCTACATGAGCAGGAACAAACCTAACAGGGTGGAGCTGAGAGTGGCAACTAGGGACAATGCTAACTAACTAGGTCTACAGTGGATCAAACCAACAGAACGAATGGATGACACATAATAAAATAGGCTCCTGTGACAACACAACCCTCCACATTTGTCCCAGGGAGTACAGTCATTGGGACTAAAAGTGATATGAAAATTCAAAAATTTATGGCCTCTTCCACACGGGGCAGACTCCACCTGCAATCTGCTTGCTCAGCAGGGGATCTGTCTGCTGATTCCTGCTTAGCAGGTGTATGACAACTCCGTGTCCACTCTGCTTTTGCAGAGCGGACACAGCCCACTCTCCTCTATGGGCTTTCAGATGTAAATGGACCGCCTGTCCGTTTACCTGACTGTCATATAGGCTGGCCAGATGGAGGGCAATAGATCCCCACCCGTTTGTTTTTAACGGATCGGATTGGATGTAGGTGGGTGTAAATGGACACATGGAGGGATGAAGTTCACAACTTTTATTCAGTGCTTTTAGAGAACATATCTGTCTTCACCCAGGATTTTATGTGGTAACTCTCAACGTTGTCAGAGTGCCCAGTCTTTGGCTGGATTTTGGGATGTGTGGATTGTCAAGTAGCTTTAAGTTATTATAGACTACTAAGGGGCTGGTAGATGGATCAGCCCACATTCCTCTACCAGCCCAATATAGGTTTATGATGCCAAACTACACAGGTATGGTTGCTGGATCAAGAAGTCGGTATATAAACAATGCCAAAAGCCTTGGAGCAATATTTAGGTAACACATTAAGTAATAGCCTAGACCATCTTAGGAGGTAAAGGCAAAAGTGTAAGGAAACTTTGTGAGAAGGTATCTTTAACCTTTATAGAATAACTTTATTTAAATATTTGGGGACCGCTAAGTAACCAACAACTGTTTTTATGTAATGTACATTATACCAGTGCAGTGCTCACAAACCATTAAGTGAGCCCATCCAAATTCACCCCGACATGAGAGACTCTATTACTAGGTCTGTTTGCACTTAACTGGCTCCTTTTCTGATGGTAATAAAGCAGCCTAGCCACTTTAGGATTACATTATCTCTAGTATAGCTTGCTATTAATCAAAGTATATCCTTGATAGGAGAAAAATTGTATATGTGAACTGGGTCTTTAATATTGGGGGTGTGTTGACTGGCTCACCAGCAGCTAAATTTTGTGGTTTATGATGACCAGCAAAGAAGCCAACTGAGCTCCGGCAGATCTTATAAACAATCTTTCACAACCAGGGTGGAAGCCTAAGGTTGCTAGGGGTTCCATTAACAATAAGCAATTTCTGCCTCTCAGGTAAGTAACCACTGACACCAATGATCTTTTTAGCTATCTGTAAGGAAGGTTGGGACAGTGGGGGTTACTCAATGACCACAAATGTAAGGAGCATTCTTCTCATGGACCATCACATACCACAAATGGTGGATATAGTATTTCTATACTAGCACAGTACAGGTAAAAAACACAAGTTTTACAGGCTTTTGAGGGATTTTTTTTTCTGCTCCTAAATGCCCCTCTATGTTAGACCATGTGCCCATGCACACATTTATAGGCATTTATAGCCAGGAACATATAGGGGCAGAAATCTGAACGCACCATAATTGATCCCAGAAAAGCATGTAAATGCGTCTAAATGCAAGGCCAGTTTAGCGCTTGAGTGTTCATTCATGTCTTTGGGCAAAATAAATTAATATTCTGGCCAATGAAATGAATGAACACGTCTAAACGTGTTTGAAAAACAAGGCTTTAGATGCATTTTAATGCTGCTTTTCTCCTGCCAGGAGAAAGGCATTCAGAAGAGCCTAGTGTGCATGAGGCCTTAAAGTGACAGAGGGCACTCAATTTCATGTTATATAGAGTATGGAGTACAGACTATACAATTGTGTTCTTTGAATATAAAACCCCCCACAACCATAGGCCTGGTCCGGGGAATGGTAAATCTACCTGTGCCTAACCTTTAATAGCATCCAAAAACAATACACTACAGAAAAACCCACAAAGAAGGATATAGCACCTCAAAGGCTACCATGGCAGTATTTATTGTAGAAGTAATAAATGTAAAAATGTATATATCATTCCATGTATATTCAATGCATGTACCCCAACCCGATCCACCCCTCCACCTCTCTACTCCCCACCAGTTCCCCCCACAGCCCCAGTACCACCTCGACAGGCCCCCACTCCCTTACAGAGTATCCGGGGTGTGCCCCACCCACCCCTCCCCATATTTCCCTAAGTCCCCCTGTCCTGCAAGGATGGAACAAGGTCCCCTGAAAGTCCCTCTGTAGCAGTGTCAATTGTAGAAGATACAATGCAATGTGGATGTCTGGCCTGACTCTAGTGCATAATAGAGCATTGAGTCCCAATGTGGATACGCTGGATATTACCCCACTGGGGAGGAAGGAGTGGAGGGAGGGGGCAGTCACAACCCCATCAAATGTGAGTCAATGCAGTATAATCAACTGCTAATGTTTGATGTGCCACTATGCTCTCCAAGCCTCGGTGGTATCCCTGAGACCTTCCAAGCTGACCACCTGACAGGTGCCAAACAGGTCCAGCCTACCGACTGCCCCAGATGAAGGTAGCTGTTTGCCTCTGTGCAGCCTGTACTGCACAATGTTATTTCTCTTGTACCAGCACAATAAATTGTAGATAAAAAATGGTCTCACCCCATATGAAACAACAGGTGTATATTTATCCAAAGCTCAGTAGCCTGGGATTTCCAATGTCCATTTGCAAGTGTGTAGCAATGTCCATAAGCATATCCAGATCGGCAGCAGGACAGGGGTCGGGGTAAATACATTGAATGTACATGGGCAGTACAGTGAATGGCCAGCACTTCCGCCTGGCAGCACTAGTGTTGTTGGTTTGAATCCCAACCATGGCACCACCTGCATGGAGTTTGCATGTTTTTCCTGTGCCTGTGTGGGTTTCCTCCAGGTACTCTAGTTTCCTCTCACACTC